AGGCTTTGGGGCCAGCCCCAGCAAATAGAGATCTCTGGGCACCCTAACCACAGAGCTCTCAGCCCATCACTTTGATCCGCCTTTCCCCTGCCATGTCCCTGTCCCATAGGCCCCAGCAAGGCAGACTCCCTTCTGGCAAATGGGGACTCCATTTGCATTTGGGAAACTATCAGAATCTTCTCAGCCAGAGGCAGAAACCCTGTAACTCAAGAAGAGGTGGTTCAAGCTCTGGTGCTCAGTGAGGGCCCCCATCCAGTGCGGGCAATTCCCAGGGGTCTGATGAGGCTTCGTCCCTGTCCCGCCCTCACTGGAACTGGAGGGTCCTCTTTATCTTTAACTCAGGGAGACCATGCAGGTCTGCGGCTTAACATGTGACTGGCCAACGAGAGTGCCAGGTTCTCACCAACAAGCTTCTCTCCTTCCGCCCTCCCACGCTCATCATCATTCCAGGGTGAGTACCCGCTGGAGCGTCTCAGGTCCCTCACAAAGGTCTTGTGCTCCCCCACTACCAGCGCTCTGATTTAGGAAGTCTTGTCCAGGCAACTTCCAGGCCAGAATTCCCCCACACCGCAGCACCCTCTGACGCCGGCCTTTGTTCCTGTTTGGGTGATTTCCCGCGTGGACCTGGGAAGTCAGAGGGACTCCAGGCCACTCTGGTGATCTAGAAGAGTGAGCCTCCTGGTTCAGCTTTGCTTCCCAAGTCCAGTGGGTCAAAAGCTTAAAACCACAGACAATTCTCTTTCTAAAGACAGAACCGACAGGAGCGAAGACTCAGACTCTGGAGTCAGAAGAACATGTTCGAATCCCAGCTCTGCTACATCGCAGCTCTGCAACCTTGAGCAGCTTACTCAACTTCTCTGGACTGGCGTTCCCACAAGGGAGTGGGGAGAGCTAAGTAGCGGCATCACCCTCTTGAAGTGGCTGTGAGGACTCAGTGAAATAAAATGGGATGCCTGGAGCACAGCAGTGACGGAGGTTCTGGGGTTGCTCACAATTCCAAACTTCTCTAACTCATTCATCGCTTCCAGGGTCCAGCCTAGTGAGAGCGGCAGTTGGTTCCCCACCTCTGTGCATTCTCTGGGGCACACACAACGCTAACCTCCCCTCTCCTGTATCACGTGTGCATGCCGACCAGCTGCTTGTACTACTCTGTGAACAGAAAGCCTAAGTGGTAGAGTCGGGCCTTCCAAATAACTAAGATGAGATGCTGCAGGTTCGAATGCTGATAAGACCAAGGGGACATACAAGTGAAACAAGTCTGCAATGAACATGGCGACCAACTCTGGGCATTGGTATCAGAGAGACAATAAGGCAGAGGGGGGCCTGGGGCAAATAGGCCCAACTCAGTTGAAACCCTTTGCTGCCATATTGTCATTGGGGCTCACTGGCAGCCCTGAGTTGCCAGTCTCTATTTAAGAAAAGCTAAAAAGCCAGAGTTTATGAAAAAACACTAAAATCTAAAAATGTGCTTAACTGTGGTATGTAGAATAATGACTTCCCAAAGATGTCCATGTCTTAATCCTGGAATTTGTGAATCTGGTAAAATATATGACAAAGGGGGGAGTTGGGGTTACAGATGGAATAAAAGCTACTAAACAGTCGACCTAGGACAGGAGCTTATCTTGCCATATCTAGATGGGCCTGGTGTTGCCCACAGATCCCTAGAAATGGAAGAAGGAGGCTGAAGAAGAGATAATCAACAGGAGTTGTCACTATACAGAAGAGCACAGGGAGAGGTGACATCTCAGGTTTTGAATAAAAGAAGAGGCATTGAGCCAAAGAGTATGAGTGGCTTCCCGAAGCTGGGAAAGATAAAGAAAGGAATTTCTTCTTAGAACTTTCCAGAAGGAAGGCAGCCCTTGATTTTAACCTGCTGAGCCCCGTGTCAGATTCTCAACCTTCAGAACTGTGAATAATAAATTAGTGTTGTTTTAAGTCACTAAGTATGAGGTAATTTGTTACAGCAGCAATAGAAAATTACTTCTTCAATAAACATTTTTATTTAAAAGGGCAAAACAGGTAAGCCAAACAGACCGTGTCTGTGGGCTGTAGTCACTGTGAGGTACGTCTCACCGAGAATCACTGAACTGATTGACTGGGAAATCACCAACGTGGACTCCATGTCCTAATCAGTGGCCAGGAGGGGCCCAAGGTCACACAGCTGTGAGGCAAGTGATGCTACTACTGACGTGACCATCTTGCCCACTGTTGTATTCAAGAAGCAAAGGAGTGCCCAGGGAAAGCTCAAGAAGGCGGACTATAGGCATGGCCTGCAGAACTTGAGCCCTGTCTAAGAAAGACTCTTCCTGCCCTGGGCATTGCACAGGGACCTCTATCCACCATGGCAGTCAGCTCTTCCACCTGCTCCCTGGACTGATGTTCCTAGTTCTCAAGCCAAATGCATTTCCTTTTTCTTTCTTTCCCTTTTTTTTCTCTTCCCTTTCACATCTTTCATTTTTTCTTGCAATTTCTGAAGCACAGAAAATTCCCTGGAAAACTCTGTGTTAAGTGAGAACCTGAACAAGAATCTTCATGGAGAGCTACCTGAGTCACTGGGCCCTGGGTCCTGGATTGCTTTACGTGTAAAGGATGCCTGTCAAAACTGCAGCATGCCTCCTGTTGAACCTCTGGAAACAGAACCAGAGACTTCCCGTGATGGAATGACAAGTGCCCTTTAAGGAATGTAGCTCTGAAGTGGCAGCCTGGGCATCTTTAGGGGGGGTGCACTGTCTGGACCACAGTGCTCCGTGCTGTCCCTGTCCCCCTAAATGATTCTGAAGGCATTTGGGGGGCATGTTCCCTTCTGTCTTCCACAATCTCCAGCCTTCCCCATAATCTTAGCCATCCTCTGACTCATTTGTATTCCCCGTCGAGCCTTTGAAAGAGCTGGAATTTGTGACAGTTTGTCTTTATCCAAGTCCCACAATTAATTCAGTTCACGGATTCCTTCATTCAACAGAGATTTATTTAGTACCTGCAGTGTACCCAAGAATGTAATGGGGATTCAGGAGTGAGCAAGCAAAGTCGATGGTCTTAAGGAGTCTAAGAATGGTGATAATGATGGTAATAAATAAGCTCTGAGGAGTAAGTTTATGCTGGACTATGTTCTAAGCCACGATAGATATAGATAGATAGATCTCACACGCGCGTGCGTACACACACACACACACACACACACACACACACACAAACCCCTCATGTATAAAGCCCACCCGATCCTCACAATGGCCCTATGAGGTGTCTCCTTCACTACCAGATGAAGACACCAAGGCTCAGTCTGCCCTGTGGCAGACAGACATTAACGAAGGAACAAGTAAGAGGTTCTAGGGCTTACCGGACAACATGGTAGCCAAAATGAAATAAAACTGAAGATCCGGTTCCTTGGTCACAGCCCTGTCCAGTGCTCAGCCGTCACCAGTGCCAGTGGTCCCACGCAGATCACCTCCATCGTGACAGCTCTACGGGGCAGTGTCGGTCCAGAGTGATGTGGTTAAAAGTGGAAGCTACAGAGCTTAAACTTTGCTCTAACACCCAGCAGCTGGGAGACCTCATGCAAATTTCTTAACCTTCTGTATCTTGGGCTACTGATGTATAAAATGTGGTTAATAATAATACCATTCTTAAGGAGACTGGGGGACGATGAGCTAATTCTAGGCTGTCTAGGACAGAGTTCCAGCACGTCCCAGACATCTGATCAATTAATACTATTGTGAGTATATGAAAGGTCAGGAAGTGGCAGTTAGTGCTACAATGGGAAAGCAAAGAAGCAGGACGAGGGGATAGAAGGGGACAAGGTCTTGCTTAAACAGGACGGAATGTCCTCTCAAGGCAGTGGCATCTGTGGGTAACTGGGGGGCAGAACCTCAGATTGAGGCTGTGAGCAAAGACCTTCAGCCTGGGCTTGCAGGGAGGTCAGTGTAGCTGGAAAGGAGTGAGCAAAGGAGAGGGGCGGGGAGAGAGACGGGCTCCGGGAGACGCTGAAGGACCATGATGAGGACTTCAGCCTTGGGATTGAGTGTGGTTGGAACTCCTGATGGGCTGTGAGCAGGAAAGGGGTGGGGTCTGACTTACATTTTAGAATAAAGCACTCATGTGTGGCTAGGTGACCACTGGGGCTGGAGGGGTGGTGGCTCGAGGTCGCTAGGAGGCTGCTGCAGAGGGCAGGCTAGTTGGAAATGCTGAGAGTGGAGGTGAGTGCTTCTCACATTCAGAGCAGCCCTTCACAATGGCTGTCCCCTCTGCCCCAAGCTCTCTTTACCTGTCTCACTCTTTCACCTCCTTAGGTCTTGACTCACAAGTCAACCCTTTAGGGGGGCTGGCAGGTGGCATGGTGGTTAAGGGCGCTGGACTCCCATATGGCTGACCACAGTTCTAGTTCTGGACCTGGTGGCTTGCTTGCTCGCTCTCTCTCTCTCTCTCTCTCTCTCTCTCTTCCCCCTCTCTGGTCCAACTAAAATATAACTAACTAAATAAAGTTCAATAAAATAATTCTTTTAAAAAAAAAGTCACCCTTTACGAAAAGACTCCCCAGTGCCTTTCCCTCCTTTACCTTTTCTCATGATCTCAAACTGAGCTACAACACATCTCACTGTTTTGCGTACTGCACCCACACGAGGGCATGGCTGCTGTCAGCGTTAGCCATAACCAAGTCCCCAGCACTGACAGCAGGCCTGGTGCTCAAGACATGTGAATAAATGGCATAGGGAAGGCAGGACAGCAGGTGTAACTCAGAAAACCGACACTCAGAGGGAAAGTCACTGGCCAAAAGCCACACAGCAGTTGATGGCAGGGCCCGTACTAGAACCCAGCCCCGGCCCCCGCCCTATACTCTCCCACGCTTCTCACCGCCGCCATGCGTCCCCTTTATTCTCAGAGCTCTCGCGCGCCGTTTTTCTCTCTGTGCTCAGTCGTCACCTTTCCCTCCAGCCAGCAGTCTTTGGTCTCCTCCCCATTTTCCCCAGACCATGCTCTGCTCAGCTAAACTTTTCCTTCTTCTGTAGGCCGAGGCCAACTGCGGCATCCAGAAAGTTATCTGCACCCAGTGAAAGGAAGGAATGGGACGCCGAGATGCCCATTCGGTTTCTCTACCAGGACAGCGTGTGGGAAGACGTGTGCAGTAAGATGCAAAGACCTGGATTCAGAGCCGGGGAGAGAGAGGAAGAGGGCAGGGAGAGCTAAGCCAAGTTAAGCCTCCTTCCACCACACATGGACGCTACTGAGCAATGCTGGCAGGTCGTGCAGCTTACTCTGGTAAAATGACATTCTTAGGGTTTGGGAATTCCCTTTTTAAATTATTTTTACTGTCAAAATTTGATTGCATTCTTCATTCAATTCTTTGTAAGTTCTGTTAAGATAAACACTTCAGACACCTTACATTTAAGAATTCATCTGAGTGAAAAATAATTCATGAATCCAAAGTACTCAGAACCAGAAGAGGATCAGGGAGGCCAGCAGTGTTAGCAGGGGACTTATAGGTGATCCGTGGGGTGGGGGGGTGGTGTGATGGTGGGCATGAAAGGGCTGCTGTGATTGGCTGAAGGTCAGCTCTTGGTTACAAAAAGATAGACTCCTCAATTCCACTTCAGTTTGTTTGTGTACCAAGCTGGGGTGCAACTTGTTAGCAGAAACCCTGTGTCTGGAGGCAGCTTCAAGCTAATAGACTCCCGCTTATTTAATTCAATACGCTTTGTGTGTTTTTCTTTTTTCATGTATACAACATATTATAAACAGCCTTTTTAAAAAAGGAATTATTCATTAGGAACCAGCAGTTAGCGTAATGGCTATGTCGCTGGACTCCCACGTAGTCGACCGCGGTTCGTGTCCCGGACCCGATGGCTTAAAACTCACGCCGGGCGCGTGTGCGTGCGTGCCCAAGATCCCGAGAGGAGAATGGAGGAGAAGGGATTGCTGCGAGGCCATCCCCCCTGGGGGGTGATTTCTCGCTTTCTGTCTCTACATCTCTCTCTGTCTGTCTGGCGAGCGCACGCGCCCTACAGTGAAAATCTCTCCAAAAAAAAAAAAAAAGGAATTATTCATTTAGTTTTATTTTATTTATAATTATTATTATTTTTTTAATTTGCACTCACCAGAGAGAGACAGAGAGAGTGAGAAAGCAAGCTGCCAGGTCTAGGACTCAAACAGCAGTCGGCCTTGTGGGAATCCAGAGCCTTAACCATCATGCTACCTGCTGGCCCTATAAGTAGCTTTTCATGTGACTAAATACCATCCCAAAGCAGTATCTAAAAATATTTATTTATTTAATATTATTATTTATATACGTTTGCTATAGGGTATGTGTGTCACCAGAGAGAGGGAAAGTGAGAAAGCAAGCCACCAGGTCTGAGACTCAAACTACAGTTGGCCATGTGGTCCAGTGACTTAAACACCACACCACCCGCCTGACTTTTTTTTTTTTTTTTTTAGCATTTTGCCATGTTGCACATGCATTTGCCAGAGAGAAACAGAGAGGAAATGAGAAATCATCCCCTGGGAGGGATGGCCAGGCTGCACTTTCTCCTTTCTCCTCTTTGGATTTGGGGTACACACACAACATGCACCCGGCATGTTTTTCAGGCTTCCAGGTCCAGGATTCAAATTGCACAGTTGGTCAGCTGAGGCCTAGCTGCCTGAACCTGCAGTCTATCTGCTGGCCCATTGAAGCAGCTTTTTAAATGACTACTGGACACCTTGTGGTATACAGGTACTAGAACACATTTCAATAATTCCCTCTGGTTAGATATTCAGATTGGTACCAAACTCCATTATTATGATGCAGAAATGAACCTTTTTAAGCTAAGTTGCTGCATGTAGTCATAGTATTTTTTTTAATTGCCAGAGGGCATGTGTGCTCACCAGAGAGGGTCACTGTCCTCTAAGAAAAGTCCTGGAGAGACTTCAGTAGCTCTGGCTTATGCTAGGTCTGGCCAATGTAAGGATCCGTGGAGGGGGACAATCAATGATTATGCGAATGCCACCAGAGTCCTACTGTGCACAGACAGCATAGCGGTTAACAGGCTCTAAGTTCACACAGGCTCAGATCTGCCACTGACCTTGACTTGGGCAAGATTTCTCTGAGGCTTCATTTTCTCAGCCCTGAAGTGCAATCATAATATCATCCTGACGGGGTTTGTGGGAAGCTAAATGAAATCCAGCGTGAAAAACCCACAGCATAGGGTGACTTCTGAATGGGTCCTCTGCACCCAGCCAGAACTGGTATTAAATAGACACCATAATTTGAGTAATATAACAAGCTATTTAGTCGAGATCTTAAAAGACGTGTTAAACTTCTAAGAATGATTTCTAACTAGTGTCAACTATTCTCATGAGAAGGGATGCCCAGATATCTCAATCTCCTCAAATGTTTCTTACATTCTGTTTCTCATAATTCAGTATTTTGTGACATCCCCTATGAAATTTTATTTGACTTAACAGGCCCTATTTTCATAAAACTTGTCCTAGCAAGCCTTCTCAATAGCAAAGGAAAGGCAAACCCAGATCAGAGGGGCCCCGACTAGTGGGCCTGGAGAAAATGCAGGTCCTTAGGTCTCGTTGCATCTCCCTGGCTCAGATCTCCAGGGTGAGTCCCAGGTGTCTGTACCATCGGCAAACTCCCCAGATAATTTTTTTATTTTTATTGTCAGAGGGCGCATGCATGCACAGGAGAGAGCGAGCCCTCCGGGGGAACTGGTCACGTGGCAATTCCCTTTCCTCCATTCTTTCATCCCATCAGGATCTTGGGCATACACTTACATGTGCCCAGCATGCTTCTCAAGCCACCAGGATCAGGATACGAACTGTGGTCAGCCAGTGGGATCCAGCTTCTTCCAAATAGTTCTTAACCACTGCACTTCAGGGCCAACCGTCCCTACGTAAATCTTACAGCTGACTGGGCCTAAGACTACCCAATGGTATTGGAAATGATAGATGTTAACCATAAGCTGGATATTTGAAGACTTCTAGAAAGGACATTTTTGTTTCATTCTGTTAAAAAACAAAAACAAAAACAAAACAAAAACGAACACTAACCAAAGCATCATTCTGTTAACCACAGCATCTATGGGAATGGGAATATGGCCTTGGGTCTTTAAACAAGATTAACCTTCAGTAGGAAATTTTCCACAGTGACTTGGCTTTTCCCGTCCTAGACCAGCCCCTCGGGGAGCTGATGAAGTCTGATTTTTGGTTCATGGTGTTGTCAGGGCAGCACAGTCCTGAATTTTGCTTCTTTCCCTCAGGAGACATTTATTCTGATGGGTGTACGTGTTCCATTTAAATGTCCTCTGGCAGTAAGAGGGTTGCTCTGACAGCAGGCTGCCTGGCTGGCTTTGTCTGCAAGGCCACGCATCTGTAGCTGGCAGCTTGCGCTGGAAAACGAAGCGTTTTTAAAGTGCAATCCTATGCTAGTTCTTTCATGTCTTCCCAGAAAGATAACTACTAATGCATTGTATGCTATTTTAAGTTAGAGGGTCCTGTTTTTCTCTCTCCTTATAGACTTCCATATATCTTCCCAATTGATGGAATTAATTATTTGGGTACCAAGCATTTTATCAAGCACTTTGCACAAATTATTTCAAATTCTCAAAACAATGCAGAAAAGTTGACGTAGGGCCTGGTGTCCATTTTGGGTAGCCCAGTTTCACCATCCTCCCTCCTCTCAGCACCTTGCTGGAATGCTCCCATGAATGCAATCAGAGGCAGGTGTGTATCACCTGGGACCCTAAAGGGTTATCCCTCTGTCCCTCTCCTCTGTCAACTAACCCCATTAGACACTGTCCCAAGGCATCGGGTATTGAATGTGTGATGCCAGGAAAGGCGTGGGCTCAGCTGGAATGTCAGGAGCATTGTGCATTTCCTGGCTTCCTGTGGGGCATCTGCCGTGAGTTTCTGCAGCCCGGCCCTCCATCATCCCACAGCTGTTGCCCACTCCCAGTAGCAAGCGTGTTGAGGTTCCCATCAACTCTGTGAACCCTCAGCTTCCAGAGCTGTTGGGTAATGGAAAACCCATTTCTGCTGCTTGTAACCAAGAACATGGTCTGGTCTCTATGGATTATTGACCCCAGCTTACTGAAATTGAGCTCTGGATTAGAGCTTTTGAGTGAGGTCTCTGACATACACATCCTTTGTCTGTAAGTAGCAAAGAATACTGGGTACAGCCTGGACTAGGCTGGATCTGGAGCCCTGGGTCCCAGGAGAGAGTAGGAGTCTTGGGTTTGGCTCCCTCACTGAGGCCTGCTCACCAGGTTATCTCCTGCATTGAGCACCAAATGTGGCCAAATCTAGAAGAGCGCAGAATGGCAGCCTGCTAGAGTGGAGTTCCTCTGGGTGTGTTGGAAAAATACACTAGGCTCATCTAACTCGTGATTTCATGTGATTTACTGCTCCAAAGGAGAAAAAGGGTTTTGGAAGTTAAAACATTTTTAATTACAATAATATAGTAAATAAATAAAGTTGTGGCTAATCTTAGGAAAGGCAAAATCCATGCAAAGACCTAACAGTGGAGCATCTTCAGCAAATTGAGAGGAACCTCAAGTCAGTCTCCGGTCTCAGATGCATCAACTCAAGGGACAAATTTTCTTGATACCGTCTCTTTTGTTGAGATGGACGATATTAACCTTCTGCTTGCTCTAGGGCATCCATCCTTTATCTCAAGTGTGGGTGAAACCAAGCCTGGCTGTGAGAGATAGACTTTCTTTGCCTAGCATTTATGAGCAAGGGATAAGTTGAGATTTTTCTGATTACTCAGAAGGAAGTTCTGGGAAGTCCATGCAATAGTAAGTCAAGTGGTCTGCTGGTGACCACCCAGGGCATGGGCAAAAGCACACTTCTAGCTACAGTGTGGCGTGCTGACATTGGAGAAGTCCAGCTCTGAGCCACCTTCCATCTGCTTATAGTTTTTTTCTATGGTCATTGAAAACTTTATATTGCTTTCCTACCAGGTGCTAGACCCTGTGCTGTGCACCGGAGTTCCCAAGTGGACAAGCACTGGGTCCCTGCCCTCCAAAGCAAGGCAGACAGGTAATCTGTCCCATATGGTTCACCTGTGCTGGTGCAATAGTCCTGGTTAGTTAGCGTGAAGGCCCAGGAGCAGAGGGTGGGGTGCTAACCTTCCTCTGTGTTATGGAGAAGTGAGGTGGCAGAGGTAAGAAGGGAGTTGGGGGGGGGCATTTAAGCCAAGCAAGGGTTTTCAAGCTTTTCTCATTTGCTGGCTATTTGGCCTTAATACAATTTACTTAA